TCTCTCTCTCTCTCTCTCTCTCTCTTTCTCTCTCTCTCTCTCTCTCTCTCACTCTCTCTATCTATCTATCTATCTCTTTCTCTCTATCTGTGTATCTTGGATTTTATTATAATTTAAAAGCTACGATTGATTATTGGATTCAATTGACACTTAATGGTGATGGATATTTATACACTTTTACACGTACGGACACAAATACTTTCTTAATATACCAATTGTTTTTCTCCTTGTTTCAAACAGAAAATGGAAGAACTTGAATTCTTTTCCTTACTTTAATTTCGAAAGAACACCTGTCCAGATGAAGTGAGACCGTTTAGAAAGAACTTTCATTTTGTTCCGTGAATCTGCTAAAATTTATTAAGTGGAGACGGACATGTATTATAATTTGAGGCGGAATTTCTCTGGCACATCGGAGAGCCCAGAAGTATGGGCAGCGCTATGACGTCACACAGGTCACCTCGTAGAGGTCAGACGTAAGACAGAACTATGTGACACTGGTCGCCTCCAGGTTTACCCCGCCATACACCAACACCTGGAGTCTGCGCAGCGGTGGATGTCTTAGCCCTTGCGTCTGCCTCATGTTTTACAGCACATCCTAGAGGAAAAAGCCACACACAGAAATTGACAGAGCGTACCACTCACTCCCTGAACACAACACAGAGAAACATCACAGCGTTCCAAATAGCGAGAGAGGTAAGTACAACAATCCGAACGAATGCACAGAATTTCCAAATCCGAAACACAGATCGAGAATACGTTATCTCCCAATAGTGGACAAGATTCTCACAATGTAGATGGGAGGATCGCTGGCCTGTTGTACGTGCTCACTGGAGGGCATGAAAGGCTGGGTCACCTCAGTGGACACCTTCTAGAGGAGACCTTCTAGAGGGGACCTTCTAGAGGAGACCTTCTAGTGGACACCTTCTAGAGGGGACCTTCTAGAGGACACCTTCTAGAGACCTTCTAGAGGAGACCTTCTAGAGGAGACCTTCTAGAGACCTTCTAGTGGACACCTTCTAGAGGAGACCTTCTAGAGGAGACCTTCTAGAGACCTTCTAGTGGACACCTTCTAGAGGAGACCTTCTAGAGGAGACCTTCTAGAGACCTTCTAGTGGACACCTTCTAGAGGAGACCTTCTAGAAACCTTCTAGTGGACACCTTCTAGAAACGCGACGACTTTGCAGACACGTCTCTGAAACAAGAGAGAGGAGCATGGGTTAGATATGTACGTGTGGTGAGGAGAAAGAGAGAGGAGCATGGGTTAGATATGTACGTGTGGTGAGGAGAAAGAGAGAGGAGCATGGGTTAGATATGTACGTGTGGTGAGGAGAAAGAGAGAGGAGCATGGGTTAGATATGTACGTGCGGTGAGGAGAAAGAGAGAGGAGCATGGATTAGATATGTACGTGTGGTGAGGAGAAAGAGAGAGGAGGAATACAGAAGTCAAGGGTCAAGAGTCAATGGTCAAAGCTGTATGATGTCAAGGTTCGATTTGACCATAACTCGGTCTAGTTTCGAAATTGTCAAACAGAAAAAACTATAAATCTGTTGTTGTTGTTGTTGTTGTTGTTGTTGTTTTGGGGGGCAACTGCATAAGGTCATATGAGCGCGCGGGACACGCAAAAGATTTACAGTAGGTAGGGCATTTTGAATTTTGCTCGGGTGGCGTCCGAAGCCTACTCTTATCGAATTTAGACCACCAAGGGATCTTTAATGAGTGCAACTTGCACTCGGGTATTCCGAGATTTTTCGCCCTTTCCCAGAAGGTTAGGTGTACATAAAATAAGATAAGATAAGATAAGATACATCTTTATTGTCCAGAAGATCAGGAGTGTGGCTGAAAAACAGCAGTAAGGAGGAGCCAAGGAGAAGCAGTAGAAAGGCTGCAGAAAGAGTCAGGAGCCCAGAGGAGGGGGCAAAGGAGGTCAGGGGGTGGGGGCAGCAAGTGGAGACGAAATCAGACGACAGAACATTGCTATAGAGCAGGAAAGAAGGTGAAAGTAGATGATTTTAGAGAAGAAAATTTTTCCGCCGCTACCCGGATTGTTTGATTGAGAGGCGGACACCTTAACCTCTTGGCCATGAGAGCCCCATAGAAATGTGTGCCACGTGCCACATGCGTAAACCTTTACAAAACACCTGAACCAATATACATAACTCCATAACAGGACGTGTGTCTCTCTTTGTCGTGGGAAAGTTTTCTGGAATAATATTTATTTTGGTAAGGAAAATATTGACAGAGTGAAGTGGAGGTCCATGATCGCCCACGCCAGTCGGCAATGCACCGGATGTTGATGATGATGTTGATGATGATGATGATGATGATGATGATGATGATGATGATGATGATGATGATGATGATGATGATGATGATGATGATGATGATATCCATTAACAGATAAATAGCTCGGTCATCTTTGAACCAATTTGAACAACACGTCACACAAATCAAATCAACTTACATGGGTGGGGGGGGGTTCAGTAAGGTATTACGGCGCTCGCAACTGTATAAGGTCATCAATAGATAAGTCCAAACGGGGAATCAGACTTACTCTGCTCACCTCTCTAGCCTCAACAGCACAAAGTCTGCTTCGACTATCAAGGCACCACGGAAATAGCGGTTCACAAGAGAGTGACAAACATACAAAAGAAGTAGAGGTAAATGACGATAGAAAGGATGAGGAAAGAAAAAGCAGCAGTCCCCCTTATGTTGTTCCAGCACAGTATGAGCATGACATTGATAAATTAGCCCGTCTACTATTCTACTGTGCATAAGAACATGTTTTACACACCCGTTAAGAAAGTAATAATGTCTACTCACATCTTTATGTACATTTCCACATTGCACAAAGTCACAGAACAATTACCAGGGCAAACTATCTCCTTCGTGCGCACAACGTAGCCACAACAGAACCGGTCTCTTCTACAACTTGTCCAGTAGGTTTGTGAGTAAAGCCACCGCGAGACGAGAAGTGGCTGGCGAGACAGTTCCACAGTACAGAACTGGGCTAATGTGCGACATGTGATCTCCCAAAGAAGCTGTGGCGAGAACCGAAAACCCGCGGCTCTGACACCGTCGCCCCCTCATGGTTCTATCGCCCAGTGACCACACCCGCAGGTTCCCCCACCACCCCGCGCCTCACGGTTCTTATGCTCATACGCTGAGAGAGAGAGGGAGAGAGATCAATACTGAGAACACTGCCCGCTGTTCTACACCACAGAGACGCCACAGAGATGTCCAACAT